TTGAGCTGAAGAGCTGAGGGACAGCACCCAGACCCAGAGTTCAGGCCCCATGACCAGACCAAAAAAAAAAAAAAAATACAAAATTGAGAATCTAAGAAAACATAAATCACAAAAGAGAAAATACAGTAGCCTAAAGAGAAGCAAAATTGTGTGAAATTGATGTGAACAGAGAGAATGAAAAGTAGACAAGGTCCTGACAGTGCTAAAAGTAGAATGTACACAGGAATGAGGGTGAAGAAGAACAAACAATCCTTACAAACCTTCATTTTCCCCTTAAAATTTACCAGACAGTAAGTCACACAGCTTGCCTTTCCAGCTCTCCAAAGGAAAACAGGTAGGAGTGTGTAAGAGGCATACCCTTTACGAAGAATGCACAACTACAGAACAGACGGCTTTAAATCAATCATTTGCACCCCAGGCCTGAGAACAGTCCAAACTGTTCCAAATTCTTCATTTATATAAAAAGTTCTCAAGAAACAAACAGGTTTTGTATATTATATGTACTAAAACCTAATTTTTATTGATTAAGCAAATTTATTTAAGGAATAATTATGGGACTAAGCTCAATGGTAATATGTTAGCCCAGTACATCTGAGTGCCCTTGGTTTGAGGCCCAGCACCATAAAAAAAAAAAAAAAGAAGAAGAAGAAGAATTACAGAGTACTTGCTATGTGCCAGTATGCCCTGGGTTTCAGGTCAAAATCAGGACAGAAATGGCAAAGCACCAATACATACATCATATTTAACTTGATCCTATGTATATTATTTTTATTTTATAGACAATGAAGTGATTTGCCCAAGGTGATACAACTATGAACTGAAAAAAAGAGGTTAACAGATTTTATGAGCCGAGTGCCAAAGGCACATGCCTATAATCTTAGCTACTCAGGAGGCTGAGATCTGAGGATTGCAATTTGAAGCCAGCTTAGGCAGGAAAGTCCATGAGACTCTTATCTCTAATTAACTACCTAAAAAGCCAAAGTTGTAACTCAAGTGGTACAGTACTAGCCTTGAGAAAAAATAACAAAAAAAACCCAAAAACAACAAAAAACCCCTCAGGAACAATGCAGGGGCCCTGAGTTCAAGCCCATGACTGGCACAAAAAAAAGAAAAAAAAAGAATGTATGAGTTCTCCATTTTGAACTAAATAAAGCAGGCTGCCTTTTCAAAACTTTTCTTATATCTATCTTTAAGCTTACCAGAAAGAACTGCTAAAGACGAAAATGGAATGACAATAAAAATATTGTCTATAAGCCAGACAACAGTGGCTTACGCCTGCAATCCTACCTGATACTCAGCAGGCTGAGATCTGAGTATCACAGTTTGAAGCCAGCAAATTCAAGAAAGTTTGTGAGACTCCTATCTCCAATTAAATCACAGAAAAAGCTGAAAGTGGTAGAGTTCTATCCTTGAGCAAAAGGAACTCAGAGATAGTGCCCAGGCCTAGTTTAAGCTTCAGGACCAGCAAAAGAAAAAACATTGTCTATAATATTTTAAACAGGTATCAGTGAGTTCAGTTCAGAGAGTAATCAACACCATTTTTATTCCTAATATTCCTGTTATGTACAGCTATATTCTATTTTATTTATTTATTTATTTTTTTGGTCTGGTCGTGGGGCCTGAACTCTGGGCTTGGGCGCTGTCCCTCAGCTCTTCAGCTCAAGGCTAGCGCTCTACCACTTGAGCCACAGCGCCACTTCT